TTCAGCTCGAGTTACAAAACCGTTTTCAGTGCCTAGAAGACTGCAATGAAGTGGACGATTTGAATGACTGTACTGCAATGAAGTGGACGATTTGTTTCCAGTAAAAAGGGTCTACTAAATACAAAATCAAAGAATAAGCAAAATAAAAGAGAAAGATATATTATTTATTAGCGAACCGCCCTGGCTTCGCCTGTGTGATTTAATTAAAAAAAAGATCTTCAAGTTTTTCGGATGAAATATATCCCTCCTGGCATTGTTCTTTATCTGTTCCTAAAGTTTTATCATTTCATTTCATAAATTCTGCGCGTGTCGTGGTCTCGCTATCGCAGCGAGCGCGGTTATAATTATTTCTTCTCCATACTAATTTGAACACACTTTGACCCCTCCGTAATGGGTGGTTTTGAAAAACCGCAAAATCCTTATTGATATATTTTATTTAAGTCGTAGAGTGAGTGAGTCAGTGGTATTTCGATTATATATATAAGATTATTATTTTATTATCAGAACATTTATCTTATCCAATAATATTTGCAATGTAAGCATTACTTGCATTTCTGCCGCGTATAAATGGATTGGCGTGTCCGAATGTTAAGATAACGTATTTATATTTAGTTAGTTTTTTGTGAATTGTACGATAATTAACACGCGTCACGCGTATTTTTTTATGTGTCTGTGATATTGAAACTGAAATTTATTTGTAAGTTGCTATGCAGTGATTTCGCGTATCGACAAATTACTTTTAGTATAGAAGTTAACGTTTATTTTTTCTGTATCCGAATATCTTATACAAACTTACTGTACAGGTTTTATATCATATACGAGAATATTTACTGAGGTGAGAGATTTGAGACGTGATTACACAAATTCTAAACATCTTACATATTATAACCTGTATGATGAAACCTAATTCCATTTATGTGCGTCAACGACGCTATTTATGTGTCCGTACAATTTTAGTCGATGACGATACAAAAACATTATGACCATATACTCAAGCGCTGCTCAAATTTTAAGATGCCGTTAAGTCTCGTGCTGTCTCTATCGCTTTAAGTCAAAGTGACTGTGACATCACTACACTTAAAGACGTCTTAAAATTGAGTAGCGATTGAGTATTCGGCCATTAGAGTCAAAAACTTGCGCTACAGATTTTTTATGTCATTCTAATGTCAAAATTAAATGGAAAAGTTATCTGATAAAATAAATACTATGTTATTCCAAATGACACCTATATTTTCTAAGCACAGTATATTGACGCTGTTGATCTTCGCTTATTGAGAGTTATTAAATAAAATTATATTCCTGTGACTATATTACGAAATTTTTATGTGGAGGAGCCACGCTGCAGCTACGAAATCGTATTATATTAAGAATGCAGTACAAATGGGTCCACTCAACCGGTGTAGGCTCTTACAAAACACCAACGTGAATCTGCAGAATAATTTTGTGTTTCGTATGTAATATAAAAAAATGTAATATTCGATGTGTGTAAAAAGGCCTGTTAAACCATCTGCATTTTTATACTTAATCGAGGACCAATGTAGATGCCTATGGGCCGCAGCATATACTTAATCAGGTATACTGTGTGCTCACTTGTCTTTTATATTTTTAAAATAAAAATAAATTGTCATTAATTGATTTTTGGCATAGAGTAAGTCGTACAATTTATTGTATGTATCTCGACGCCACCCTATCTTAAGAAACATAATATACACGCTGATATTAAAAAGGGCCTTGGTTTTAACTGCTGCCGACAAACTGTAATGCAGTTAGGCTGAGAGAACTACTGCCGAAAAACTGTAACGAAGTTTGGCAGATGAAAATGTTAAAAACGTTTAATGTATGACTAAAAGAAAAAAAATTAATACAGTATCACTTTAAATTTTCTAAATGTACTCAAACTTCAAATGAAGACAAAGGCCTTACTTTACGAATATTCATCACTTATCGTCATCGTTTACAAATTCAAATTCAAATTCAAATTCTTTATTTGCTAGTAAATAGGTACAAAAATATTTTGTTCTTGGTGTTATAAACAATGTGTTGAGAAAACCTATTTAGCTGTTTGCAAATGTCCAAAAGCTTTTACAATATAATTTGTTTCTAAACTTAATCTAAAACACATAACTAAAAACATCCTTTTACAAATTTTATAAATAAATAAATTCATCATCATTCATCATCATCATTTCAGCCCTTCACAAGTCCACTGCTGAACATAGGCCTCCCCCAAAGAATGCCACAAAGCACGGTCCTGAGCCTCCTGCATCCATCGACTTCCTGCATGTCTTACCAGGTCGTCACTCCATCTCGTGGGGGGACGCCCTACACTTCGCCTACCGGTACGAGGCTGCCACTCGAGAACCTTTCTTCCCCATCGGTTGTCGGTTCTTCGAGCTATATGGCCGGCCCACTGCCACTTCAGCTTACTAATCCGTTGGGCTTTGTCGGTTACTCTGGTTCTACTGCGGATATCCTCATTCCTAAGTTTATCACGCAGAGAAACCCCGAGCATAGCCCTCTCCATAGCTCGCTGAGCGACCTTGAGCTTCCTCATACGGCCAGCAGTGAAGGACCACGTCTCAGTTCCATAAGTCATCACTGGCAACACGCACTGGTTGTACAATTTCGTTTTCAGGTTTTGAGGTATGTCTGACGAGAAGATGTGTCGTAGCTTCCCGAACGCTGCCCAGCCGAGTTGAATCCGTCGATTGACCTCTCGGTCGAAGTTGGACTTACCTAGTCGGACTATTTGTCCCAGGTAAACATACTCGTCAACAACTTCGAGCTTAGTACTCCCAACAACTACCGGCATAGGTGTGACATGGACATTGAACATGATCTTTGTTTTGTCCATGTTCATCTTAAGACCTATCCGATGGGAAACACTATCGAGGTCATTGAGCATAGTGCTTAGGTCCTCCAGCGATTCTGCCATAAGGACTATATCGTCGGCAAATCGAAGGTGAGTGATGTACTCGCCATTGATGTTGATACCGTATCCTTTCCAGTCCAGAAGCTTGAAAACGTCTTCCAATGCAGCGGTGAAGAGTTTCGGGGATATGACGTCACCCTGTCTTACACCTCTCTGCAATTGGATAGGTTTCGTGCTCTGGTTCTGTACTCGGATAGCCATCGTAGCCCTACTGTACAAGCACTTCAACACTTCGATATACCGACAGTCAACTTGGCACCGCTGAAGGGACTGCAGCACCGCCCAAATTTCGACGGAATCAAAGGCTTTCTCATAGTCCACATACGCCAGACATAGTGGCAAATTGTACTCTTCGGACTTCTGTACAATTTGCCGAAGGGTATGTATGTGGTCTATGGTGCTAGCACCAATAAATAAATTAATATAAATAAATTAATTCATGCATCGACAACAGGTACTTAATCACTATAATTTAAAAACTCATTTATTGTGTAAAATGTTTTCTCTACCAACCATCGTCGTAATGAAATTTTAAACTACAGCCCATCTCAAGTCCACTGCTGAACATAGGCTGCAATTATGCTCATAGATTGCTACACAGTACGATTTCATCATGTCGGTCTTTCATCTAGTGTGGGAGTGGGGGAGGGATGATACTAGCAAAAGCAATTAACACAATATAAAAACGCACGCTTTTTATATTGTCTTTTTATTAAACTGAAGTGCCAATCAACTTACAGTCCAAATGATGGTGAGTGGCTGCATCAGTCCAAGGTCACATGCAGCCTACTTCAAACAAAGAAGGCTACATTTGCGTTGTCACCTGTGAGTACTTTGATGGAATATCTTCCAGCTTTTCTTACGTAGTAGAGCCATGCTGCAGCTGTATTAGTACTATAGTTGTAGCACGAGTGGGTTGGCTCGACCAGGGAAGGACCACGCTCGCACAGAATACCAGCGTAAAAAAGCAGCTTAATATTACTGTGTTTCGTATGGTGAGTGTAGAGGATCGGAGACCCTTTTTTACTCGAAAATAGGTATTCCATCTCAGTCTTCACGGGTGACAACGCATCTGCATTTTGATTCTTTATTGAGGATAGATGTGGATGTCTGTGGGTCACAGCAACCACTTACCATCAGGTGGACTGTGTGCTCGTTTGTCACCCTATCCTATAAAAAAAGCTTGTAATGTATTCTACACTCTTCAAACCAGAAAACAGTAGCGCTTGCCAGAAATAAGTAAGAGTATGGTTCCTATCTAGACTGATTCCTAGGCATAAAAATACTCCTAGCGCCTGGGCCAAAAATCAAATGTGCGTAGCCTTTGAGTACCATGATAGAATGTCTCACAGCCTGTACTTCTACTGGCTCTTATAGCACGCAGGTTTGCTCGTTGCACAACAGAAGTAAAGATTACGCTGTTTAAAGCTTATTGTACATCCCTCTACACGAGCAGCCTCTGGGCTAATTACTCTCAACAGCAGTACAACGCCCTGCGCGTGCAATACAATAAAGCATTTCGGGTGCTAATGGGGCCGCCTCGATTCTGCAGCGCATCGGGGATGTTTATGATGGGTGGAAGCGAGAGTGGATGGCTTCTACACGATCATCTAGTATGTAGGATACGGACTCAAGCCGCATCCTAGTGATGTTCTCGAATAGAGTAGACTGTCAGTACCTTAACCATTGTTGTATGGTTCATATACTGGCAAATAAAAAATCTGAAATCAATAAAGGTTTTTTTTTCAATTGAAAGATTTTTATTTATTCTTTTAATTATTTATTTTTATTTAACTTTTCTTTATTATTATAATTAATTATTACTTATAGGCTATGTTATCACCTAATTGTATTAATTATGTAATATGATGATCGTTGTTGGTCGAAATAAAGATATTATTATTATACTCTTCAGAGCGGAATATAGTAGAGCAATTTAGCGGCAGAAACAGATAGGATTGTGGTACCTATTCAGACGCACTCTTAAGCGCAAAATGAGTCTTACCATCTAGTAAATTACATTCGCTATTTGTCATAAATAATGTTGTAACGTATTTTGTTTTAGAAAATGGAATTCCCGTTAGGAATATGTCTAGTACTTTTAACAGTTGCGGCAACATTTAGTGAAGCGTACAAAATTTTAGTCGTGTCACCTTTCCCAAGTAAAAGCCACACTATTATGAGTGATGCTTATGTCAAGTTTTTGCTTGATGCTGGTCATGAGGTAAGTATTCTTCTAAATTTAATTACCTTTTGTAATTGTTGATTCTTAGACAATGAGGAATTACTGTTACTTTTACCATAGATTGCTCCACAGGGGGATATTTGTCATAGTTCCCACTTTTTGGTTTGTTTCACTTTTGTTTGCAACCACAGTTGTTTATTTTAGTTGTTATTAGGAAGAGTTTAAGAAGTGTGTTATTATCACCGTCATCACCGTCACTACCATCAGTACATCCCTTCACAAGTTGTCGTGAAGCGACAATAATAAATCTAACCTAAGAACAACAAAACAACAAAAATACAACAAAAACAAAAATATATTCAAAATTCAAAGATATTTACAATTTTATAAAAAAATGAAATGAGGATGATGATGAATGAAGTGAGAGTACAATTAGGTTACAAAAAAAAATATAAAGGTAGGAGAATAGGGGAATAAAGAGATGTAGTGGGGCCTAAAAGTCGAAGCGACACACGTTGCGATTGTAGAGGTAGGTTTCTTAGCAGCGACGACACGCAGCACCTGAAGCCAGCACACGCCGGTTGCGCTTGTAGAGGTAAGTTTCTTAGTAGCGACGGCACGCAACGCCTGGAGCCAGCACACGCAGCGTCTGGAGCCGGCGCACGTAGCGCCTGGAGTAGGTGCGCTCAACGCTTAGAGCCAGCAGTTGCAGCGCCCAAAGGTAGCGCCGGCGGTAGGTGCACTCGGCGCCTGGAGTAAGTAGTCGTAGCGCCCGGAGTAGTGTGGCCCCCGCGCTTGTAGTAGTCTCGAAGCGACTTCCGAGGTAAATGGAGGCTTGTAGGAATCCGGAGTGGTGCGGCTCCGCGCTTGAAGAAGGCTTCGCCGAAGACTTCACGTGTAAGTGGAGGCTTGCAGGATCCCGGGGCAGTGCGGCCCCGGGATAAGGCCTTTAGGAGATACTTCCAATTCGCGAACTGAAGCGAGACTGCCTTTCTTCACCGATTGTTCGGCTTTTATACCTTTCTAGAGAGAACGGAAAAATTATTTAAATTAAACGCAAATTTTTTGTAAATGGTCAAGAGAAAAAAGTATTTATGTGGAATTATCGAAATAGGAACAACAGATCGGTAGCAAATTTGAATATAATTACTATAGCAACGAAATAAATAACAATATCAAAACATGTCAAACTTTGGTTTTAGGTTTATAATAAGAAAACGGTAAGATTTAAGTGAAAAATGAGATATTATTGATATAGGAAAAAAGGTAGCGCAGCTGCCCACACAAAGCCCAAGATTGTAGAGTTACGGAAAACTAGCTAAAAGATCGAAAAAAAGGTAGACTCCATTGACACCAATTTAAAAGTGCTGATAATGTGAAAATACGAAGTAGAAATGATTTGTTATTGTGTTCTTATGGTTTAAAATCGTTACAGGATCCTATGGAAATAAAGGTGATGTAAAATATCCAGTTTTGAGGTGAATGCAGAAAATCGAAACAGAATGGAAAAATGAATTTAAAATAATGTAAAATGATATGTAAGTAGCATAACACTACAAAGTTCACTGTTGAATAAAAGCGTCACACGAGAGTTTTCCCACCTTCTTAATAAAGATTAAACTTTGAAATTCGGGAATTTAAGTAGGCGCCGAAATAACGAAATCTTAAGGTACAATTCCGTAGCCGACCGCAGACAGCAGCAGCAGGCGACGTGTCGTCGCGTCATGTCGCTGCGACATGTCGTTGCGTCATGTCGTTGCAGTCATGATTCCGAACCCGACTGCACGCGGCAGCAGCCCGTGTTCCAATCTGATCCGAATGTTCTGTGGGTACTCTATTTATGTAAACAAAATAGGTACTATATATAATATATATTATATTACCTATTTACCGCTTTTATTTAACGCCTTTCCTATATTTTTTCAAATATTATCTTTTGTCACACTGTTTAATTAATTATTGTGAGATGCATCGTACAGTGCGGGATATTGGGCCACCTGGTTTATCAGTTTCTCTTCTACGGAATCGGTGAAATTCATGTTTTAATAAAAATTCAACGTGTCGCTCGGGCGTTGGCGGCACTACTGATCTGCGGTCGGGCGACATGTCGTCTGCCGCTCCGGCAAACGACGTGTCGCTAGCTACGGAAGGTATTTCATAGAACTACATAGAAACCAGTAGTGTCGCGACGACACGTCGCCTGCTGCTGCTGTCTGCGCTCGGCTACGGAATGGTACCTTTAGCGTTTATACATTTTGGTTATTAAACTGAATAAAATTAGTAATAAGTGAATAAAATGGTACTGGAATTTAATTTTCAGATAACATACATTAATGCTAACCCAAGTAATAACTCTAATCCATTGCTTCATGAAATTAATGTCAGTGAAACTAAAAGGTATTTTAATTGTAAGTATTTATAAAATCTTTTTAAACATGTACACAGCACAAAATCCTCATTTTTTATATAGAGAGTGATCGTAATCAAATATTTATTTTCAACAATAGACATTATACAGTAACTTGTTGTGGCTTTAGTTTTTGAAACCGTTTGAACAGGAATAGGAGTTGAATGACATAATTCCACCCACTCCTTTTCTGCCGACTTCCAAAAAGGAGACGGTACTCAATTCGACTGTATGTTTTTTATGTGTGTTACCTCATAACTTTTTACTATGTGAACCGATTTCGATGATTCTATTTTTATTTGAAAGCTGGTACTTCTCGTGTGGTTCCATATAAATTTGATCAAGGTCAGACCAATAGTTTTTGAGTTATTCTTAACAACTTATATTGAAGTCGGCTGTACAAAATTTTAAATTTTAAATTATTAGACATACATTCGAACCAAACAGTTTTCTTTGTCATTAGTTAGGTATTGTGCGCATTACGTACTAACGACAAAGAAAACCGTTTGGTTTTCTTTGTCCGGTCACGGCGGCTAGCCTCAAAGACTAGATCTAGCCAACTGCGCAGTGCAGGATTATAGTTGTGCACTATGTGTATGCGCAAGCACAGGTACACTCTCTCTTCACTAAATTTCATAGTTTGATAGGACTATATTGCTATGCACGCGTTTCAGTAGTATGAGTGTACATACAATTAGGGAATAAATAAAATATTTAGGTTCATAAGCGAACGGGCAAGCACATATATACACCTGAAAATCATCACCATTTTTTTAGGCCATTCAGGTAAAACTAGTAGTTAAATTAGCAATTAGAACTGCACATGTGCACTTTCAATATAAAAAATACTTCCATTGTAATGGAGAGTTTCCTTATGTGGAGCTTATTTTTTTATAAAAGAAAAGGCAGGGAGACAAATACTAAACTGTTTTAAACTTTTTTACCTTTTGCTAATTCTAGCTGATTTGGTAGACATAAAAAGTATATTAAATGATGAAGTTAATATCAAGGATCCGGGTCATTTTCTTGAAGCCATTTTGAATGTTAGTAAGGCAACATTAGAGAATCGAGATGTAGCCAAAATGATATACAATCCAAACTTCAAATTTGACTTGGTAATAGCTGAATGGATGATCAGCGAAGTATACGCTGGGTAAGATACATTTTTAATATTTCATTATTATTTTACCATCCTTCGAGAATTGGTTAATCCCATTTTTGTTGATGGATAAATCTGCGGACGATACGGGTAGTATAGAGAAGCACCGTCTCCTGCATTTTTGTTTCTTTGCTGTCTCTGCTCTGTCCATTTGCTGTTTCGGCTTTCACGAGGTTCTCGTAATTCAACATAAAGACATAAAAATATTGATATCTTTGACTGTACCTGGTTCATGTAGTCCCTATGTCCCAGGCGCAGTCATTTTCGGGCATGGTTTCCAGCAAATACTTATAATAAGGTGGTTTCCGATTCATTAGAATGCACTTCAGAACCAGGTCAGCTAGCCAATCCAGTACTAGGTTCTGTCTATGCAGATTAACAAAGCAAACTCAGAGTAACAAAGCTTTGAAAAATTGAAAATAACAAACTTGAGTGATTCACCGGGATAATGACCAGCTCGACAGATGTCGAGGCAGCCATCCCTTGGGATGTATCATCGATAATTGTTAGCTTTAATATCCTGGTCCCATATTGCATAGACAAAACTTTGGATTTCTCAATAGGTTACTGAAACTAGTCGAGGAACTGGCTACCAGTGGAATGTGATAACTGTGTCTACAAAAGAATTCGTGTTAAGAGCCTTGTAAAACCTTAAGGAATATCCTTAATATAATAATTCTTATTAAAATTATTATCAAAATTATGAAATAAATATAAACTCCGATGATTGAATTCAACTAGGGATTTAAAAGCTGAAGATGGTGAACAGTGCATATCTGCAAGAAAATATATGATCACCGAATTAGTTGCAACAAATCCATTTAAATCGGATAAAAGAAAAAAGAAAGATAGTTTATTCGTAGTTAAACATTTACTTACCACAGAGACTACTTATTACAGGTTCACTTTGTTTGATAAAGAAAATAGAGAAATATACTCATGCACATATTCAGAGGAATGTAAAAAAAAGTGCATAAAACAAAATGTCATGGATATTTGTGACAATGAAGTTAAAATTTGGATTTTGTTTTTATTCGTTAACTAGCTGTTCCCCGCGACTTCGTTCGTGTGTTAGGGTTTTTATGTTTCTGCGCGGAACCCTAATTATTTTTCCAAAATAAAAGTAGCCTATGTTACTCCTTATGAAATCAGCTATCTGCCAGTGAAAGTCCCGTCAAAATCAGTCCAGCCGTTTCGGAGATTACCCGGAACAAACAGACAGACAGACAGACAAAAATTTTAAAAATCGTATTTTAGTTATAGGTATCGTATTTACCTTCATATGCATTTAGTAAAAAACTGTAATTTTGACATTACAAACAGACACTTCAATTTTATTTATTTGTATAGATTTGAAATTGCAAACGTCGATATTAAAAACCGTTAAAATGACAAAAATTAACCACATTAAGACAAAAGCTAAATCAAGAGAAGACAAAGAGAAGAAAAACTCTAAATTTGTCCATGAGTGTACAACTCAGGCCTCAGCGGAGAGCGTCTGGTGGAGCGTGTGAGGTAACGGTATGTTTCTCATACATTTAGAGCTGTCACTGTTCAGGACTCTGAATACGATAGCGTTTGTCATGCACGCCGAACACTCCGCCCAGCTCTCCGATGAGTCTTTAGTCTTTACTCTTTTCTTATAAAATTGAAGTGACAAACGAATCTACAGTCCACCTAATGGTACTTACTTAGGTGGACTGTAGATTCATTTGTTAGCCACTTGGCTACTGCAGCTCTTAGGCAACAGCAGTCAATATCAAATAAATAAAACTACAGATGGATTGTCAAGGTTCGTCACGATGACAATAGTTTAATATTTTCTTTCTTTCTTTCTTTTTTTTTTAAAAACGTTACCCCCACACTAGGATTTTCTCCTGTATCGTGGAGGCAGTTTACAAACATAAATTATACAAGGACAAACATCCAGACCCGGAACAATTATTTGTAGGCCATACAAATACTTGTTCCGTGCGGGATTCGAACCCGCGGCCCCCAGCGCAGCAACTCATTGCTAAGCCACTGCGCCACGGAGCCGTCAATATAATACAAGATAACGTACAGAAAACGTGCCTGATAATTTTTAAAATTATATTTTAATATTTATAATTATTTTTTTTCAGATTTTCGGCATTATATGATTGTCCATTTATTTGGTTTACAACACTGGAACCACATTGGATGATATTTTCTTTAACTGATGAAGCTTCAAACCCTGCTTATACAACTACCCCGATGTCAACTAATATTACCCCATTTACATTTAAACAACGTGTGCAAGAATTGATACTGCAAACATTTTTTTATTTCATAAAGGAATGGTAAGTGGTTTTTAATAAAGTTTTTTGTTTATAGGCTTATTTAATTCTAAGTTATTAAGACTGATAAGCTGCAATGAGGATTGTCCTGAATTATTACATTACCAGACATGTTACAGATTTGATGCTGGTTTCCATCGTCGGTCAGGGTGTACTGTCGGAATCCGTAATATTTTTCTGGTATTTCCTATAGTCGCCTCATACGATACCTACGAAATAGGATGATTGATTTTCTTAAACCACCTCCACCCTTATCACCCTTAATATTATAAAAAAAAACTACCGAAATGTGATGTTGAGCTGTATTAGCAACGCGAGGGTATCTCGTCAGTAATAACTGACTTATCTTCTACAGCGGCTCACTGTGACGTAGATGCGCGACCCGAAATTGTCGTGCAATATTTGTTTGACGTACTGGAATTCGGGGAATAGTTGGCTATTGTCACGGATTCCACGGGCTCTCTAAAACAAAGGTTTTTCCACCATAGCTAACTCTGAATGATGGTGATGATTTCACCGTTTAATATCAGTCTGATTCAATGTGTAATTAGGTTTCCAAATTACTATTACATCATGAATGCTAAAGAGTTATATGCCTCTAACCCCATTGCAAATTTAATTATGTGTTTATGAAGTGAAAAATAAGTAAATGAAACACAATAAAATACCGAAAATTAGTTTCATTCAATATATTATCTGAACTTATATGGAAGGGAAAAATTTAATTCAGTGTATCATTATAATGGCTGTTCTCATGAAGGCAATTCTGAATGTTATTTGGTACTAATATATATGCATTTTAAAGGGTATAATAAAATTACAAAACATTTGAGAACCATATCTTATAATAAATTGTTACTCAATTTTATTTATTTTTTTATTTATTTTTTATTAATTTTATTGGTCAAAAATATGATCTAATATGTTAATAATTCAAGGAACGTTTACTATACGGACAAAGAGTTGTACACGAAAACCTTTGCAACAGCAATAGCACAAAGGGGAAAAGCGCTACCATCTTTCGATGACATCAGATTTAACGCTTCTATGATCTTAGGATACTCTCACGTATCATTGGGTGATGCCAATACATTGCCGCAAAGTTATAAACCAGTTGCTGGTTTACATATTGATCAAAACTTGAAGCCATTGCCAGAGGTAAGCATTATGGTTATTAACATAAGTAAGGCTGGGGTTTCCGGAAACTCCAGGTATTTCAACAGTAACTACAATATTCCTTTCTTATAACACGAATTTTAGCAAATGAAAATCCCCACACAAGTTCCCAAGACAAGCTCAAAAACACATACAAATAGACCTTCAATTTAAATTTTTCACACCAGATTTCAATTTATAATATGTATAGAGATATATTTATTGTATTTGGCTATTATTGTCATTGCTCAGGTGGCTCAGGACCGTGCTTTGTGGCATTCTTTGGGGGAGGCCTATGTTCAGCAGTGGACTTGTGAAGGGCTGTAATGATGATGATGATGATGATGATGATTTGGCTATATAAATAGCAAAAAAAAACCTTCGGAGTTTTTTTTTAAGGTTTTTTATATTGTCAGAGGAAACTCATTCTACAGCGTTACTAGATTTAAAGAAATGACGTTAGACGAATTATTTTTGTCTTACATCGAAAAATAAGGAGTTATAACTTTGTTTTGACATAAGATATGGACTTCACTTTACGATCATCATATTTATGATCAGCATTACAGCTCTTCACAAGTTCAGTCCTTATCATAAGCCTTCTCTTAGGAACACCATAAAACAGAATCCTGAGGCACCTACATTCATCGAATTCTACCAGAACGTCACTCCATCTAGTAAAGAGCTGGCCTAGAGCTTCTACATTTTTCCTTCCATTACATTTGTCTGTTTTTCGAGCAATAAAATTAAAGTTACTGTGTATATATGCCCCACGCCTGGGCACAGGCCTCCTCTCATTACTGAGAGGGATTTTAGGCCAAGGAAAAAATATCCGCCGCGCTGCCCCAAAGCGTGTTGGCGAACTTCACATGCTCCGAAATAATTTTTTTCTTATTTCTCAGTCATGCAGCTTTCATCTCGATGTTTTCCTTCACCGATGAGAACGTGGTAAATCAGCACTTAAAATTGCAATTAACAATTTAATTGGTGCCGGCGGGGATCGAACCCGGGTTTTTTTTTTAGTTTTTTAAAAAAAATATATTAGTTATGCTATTAAAAATTACTAATATTCCCTTTAACCACTCCTGGTAAGCTTATAATGCTTGTGTAAGAAGTGGTTCACGACAGTAGTCGAATGGCGGATTCGAACCCACGACCTTTTTCGGGTTCGCGGCCCGCGCCCTGCCATTAGGCTACTGACGCTTCTAAGGGTTGCTCGCATACTGTGAAATTTACAGCGAGCGTTTAGCCCCTAAGCTACCACGGCTCTTTCAAGCAATAGGGCTGGCCTATTGACACTTGTGATTGGTGATTCGTTGGGACATCAGCGCGTTGCAAATTATTCTTAGTTGCGCCCGATTACGATCTGTTTTTAAGATCATTGGTACATCATCAATTTACGGATATAAATTATACATCAAAAATAAATTCTAAGGTTAAAAAGAACTGTAATTATGATTGAATAAAACTAGTTTTACAGATTCTGTCGCGTTTAATTAACTTATTTTTATTAAATATCTGACGGCTTCATATTTTGTATACGTTGAGTCAACACTTAGAGTAACGCTATGTTGTGTAGTGTAACGTTTTGGGGAAACTCAGTGGATCGGGAAAAAGTGTTCAAAGCTCAAGAGTAATCAAAAATCTACACTGGACAGATAGTTGTAAACCACATTTCAAAGGGCTGCAAATTCTAACCTTTCTCCTATCTTATTATCTATGAGACGACTGTGTTTGTCCATAGAAACCTTTCATTGTTTGAAAATCTACATAATACAAGGTATCCCGTGAGATTAAAAGTTTAACAATCAAAGTCAGTAAAAATAAGTAAAAGTATATTTTTCATTTCTATAGCCATCTATTATAAGATACCTAATGATATAAAGAAAATAAATAATATACAAAGCTTCATAAATCTTACCAATCTATTAATGAACATCTTAATGACATACACATTTTTATTTTTATATATAGCCGTGTAGTGGCGGTTAAGAATATCCACTATCCCATATCTTCCCGTGGGTGTCGTAAAGGCGACAAAGGGAAACAGACAGGAGATGGGCAGCAGCATCTTCCTGATAACAGAAAATTATAATAAAAAAAATGGAGTTGCCAACCCGCTCGCCAAGTGTGGCAACTATGGCAAATACCCCCCCCCAATTATGAGAGTAACAAAGAGACGGCCCCCAATCCCCAGCGACCCCGCTATTCCTGGCTACGGTGGCGACCGTAGTAACGGCGGGGCAGGCGGTACTAAGAATCTCCGGTGGAGGTTCGGTTGCCACCTAAGACGACTCAACCTGGCAACATACAACGCACGCACCCTGAGGACTGACGAGAAGATAATGGAGCTGGAAGAAGAGATAGACAAGTTACGCTGGCATATTATAGGATTATCGGAGGTCCGAAGAGAGGGGGAGGACACGGTAATCCTCGAATCCGGCAACTTGCTCTGTCACTGGGAGGGCGACCATCCGTCTCAAGGAGGTGTCGGATTTATCGTCCACAAGTCTCTCGTTAACAACGTTGTAAAGATTCAGAGTGTGTCGACGAGGGTTGTGTACCTTATACTCAGAATCATCAAACAGTATTCGCTGAAGGTCATACAGGTTTACGCACCAACCTCAGCACATCCCGATGAGGAGGTGGAGGAAATGTATGAGGATATCTCTAGAGCCATGCATTCCTCCAAAACCCACTATACGGTGTTAATGGGAGACTTCAATGCAAAACACAGGGCACAAGAGAGAACGGTGAGCTGAAAGTAGAGAAATTTGGAATAGGGCAACGGAACCCAAGGGGCCAGCAGCTGACCGACTTCATGGAGAAAGAGGGACTCTTTATGATGAACTCTTCCTTCCAGAAGCGACCCCACTGGAAGTGGACCTGGTCAAGCCCTGACGGTTCGACAAAAATAAGATTGACATTATTATGACGACCAGACGACAACTGTTCAGTGATGTCTCCGTGATAGCGAGGGTGAAAACTGGTAGCAATCACCGAATGGGTAGAGGCACACTGAAGCTAAACGTTAAGTTGGAGAGGTCTCGTCTAATGAAGTCAACGCTCCGTCCCCCTCGTGCTCTATTCCAAGGTCCCGAAACCTTTCAACTCGAGTTACAAAACCGTTTTCAGTGCCTAAAAGACTGCAATGAAGTGGACGATATGAATGACAAGCTCGTGGAAACTGTCCATACGGTCGAAGGTAAGTTTTGCGAGACCTGCCGCAGAAGAACACAAAAACTCTCCGATCACACTCTTAATCTCATGGCTCTTAGACGGGAGATGAAGCTACGATCAACAGATTTGACAGCATACAGGCAACTGAACAGACAGATCTCTAAATGCATGCGGCGGGACTTAAGCAACTTCAATACAGCTTGTATGGAAGAAGCGATCGAGCGGAACCAAGGCTCCAAAGTCTTTACCAGGGAACTGTCTGCCAGAAAGAGCCAACTTTCAAAGCTGAAAACCGAATGTGGCGGCATCGTTTCCGGGACACCTGAGATTTTGAGTGAGATTGAGAGGTTCTATGGGCAGCTGTACACGTCAAAGTTGGAGTCACACGCAAGTGTGAGTAACGATCCAAGAGCGAGTCTTATCCGACGCTATTCCGAAGATATCCCGGACGTCAGTCTGAGCGAGATTAGAATGGCTCTCCAGCACCTTAAAAACGGCAAGTCCCCGGGCGAGGATGGAATTACAGCGGAGCTTCTGAAAGCGGGTGGAAAACTGGTACTTGAAGTCCTTCAGAAGCTCTTTAATTCCGTCCTCCATGGTGGCACTATTCCGGAGGCGTGGAGCAGAAGTGCGGTGGTCATGTTCTTCAAGAAAGGCGACAACGCTCTATTGAAGAACTACAGACCGATTTCTCTTCTGAGCCGCGTCTATGTGCTGTTTTCAAGAGTCATTACGAATCGTTTCGCACGCAGACTTGACGACTTCCAGCCTCCCGAACAAGCCGGTTTCCGAAAAGGCTTTAGTACCATAGACCACATGCATAACCTGCGGCAGATTGTACAGAAGACAGAGGAGTATAATCTGCCCTTTTGCCTTGCGTATGTGGATTATGAGAAAGCCTGACTCCGTCGAAATTTGGGCGGTGCTGCAGTTCCTTCAGCGACGCCAAGTTGACTGTCGGTATATCGAAGTGCTGAAGTGTTTGTACAGTAGAGCTACGATGGCCATCCGAGTACAGAATCAGAGTACGAAACCTATCCAACTGCAGAGAGGTGTAAGACAGGGTGACATTAAATCCCCGAAACTGTTCACCGCTGCATTGAAAGACGTTTTCAAGCTACTGGACTGGAAAGGATGCGGTATTAACATCAATGGCGAGTACCTCACTCACCTTCAATTTTCCGACGATATAGTCCTTATGGCAGAATCGCTGGAGGACCTAAGCACCATGCTCAATGACCTCAATAGTGTCTCCCAACGGATAGGTCTTAAGATGAACATGGACAAAACAAAAATCATGTTTAATGTCCATGTCACACCTGTGCCGGTAGTTGTTGGGAGCACTAAGCTCGAAGTTGTTGACGAGTATGTTTACCTGGGATTAATAGTCCGACTAGGTAAGTCCAACTTCGACCGAGAGGTCAATCGACGGATTCAACTCGGCTGGGCAGCTTTCAGGAAACTACGACGCATCTTCTCGTTAGACATACCTCAAAACCTGAAAACGAAACTGTTTAACCAGTGCGTGTTGCCAGTGATGACTTACGGATCTGAGACGTGGTCCTTCAGTGTTGGCCGTATGAGGAAGCTCAAGGTCGCTCAGCAAGCTATGGAGAGGGCTATGCTCGGGGTTTCTCTGCGTAATAAACTTAGAAATGAGGATATCTGCAGTAGAACCAGAGTAACCGACATAGCCCAACGGATTAGTAAGCTGAAGTGGCAGTGGGCCGGCCATATAGCTCGAAGAACCGACAACCGATGTGGAAGAAAGTTTCTTGAGTGGCAGCCTCGTACCGGTAGGTGAAGTGTAGGGCGACCCCCCACGAGATGAAGTGACGACCTGGTAAGACATACTGGAAGTCGATGGATGCAGGTGGCTCAGGACCGTGCTTTGTGGCATCCTTGGGGGAGGCCTATGTTCAGCAGTGTTCAGAGTGAAAGGCTGTAATGATAAAAAAGATATATATGTTTTTTCTTTTTTTACGTGTCATTAGCCTAAGATGTTATGTTGATTATTGTTGATTTGTGTTTGTAATAATATAGTAGAAATAATAATTTGAATAGATGATATTTTTATTTACATATTCTTTTTCTCTCAGATATATTTAATCACACCAGTAATTAGTCTAAGGTACAGACGCCATGGCGCTATTACGAAATGCGTTATGTGTCATAGGTATCATTGCACGATGCTTTTCATCTATAATATCTATCATTTTTATGAATATTTTCTAACATCTACTCAGAAGATCATGTTGAAAACATGTGAAGTATTTTTATAATATCTTATCTATTTTAAAAGTTATATTTTTTTATAGGATAGGATGACAAACGAGCACACAGTCCACCTGATGGTAAGTAGTTGCTGTGACCCATAGCCATCTATATTTATCCTTGTTTGCGAATCAAAATGCAGATGCGTTGTCACACGTGAGGACTAAGATAGAATGCCTCTTTTCCAGTAAAAACGGTCTCCGGTTCTCTACAATTACCATACGAAACACAGCAGTGTCAAGCTGCTATTTTATGCTGGTATTCTGTGAGAGCGTGGTCGTATATTTTAAGTTTGATTTCGCCCATCGATTTTCAAAACGTTTCTATAATTAAAACAAATTGAACAAAGTTCTTTTGTAAAACGTAATTATTTTGACTGAGGCATTATTAATTAATTGAACCAACTTTTAAATAAATCTAATTAGGTTACTGAACCACACGCGCACTTCTATAAAATTGTCGCGTGCGGAAACTGAACCCGGTGTTACCGCAGCAAACTATATGCTTATTAAGGTCCACTGCGCTACTGATGCCAGTCGCCAAGTTTTACTAATCTCTACTTATTGACAGGAATTAAAAAATATTATGGAAAGATCCAAAAATGGCGTTATTTACTTTAGTATGGGCTCAAATGTAAGGAGTCGAGATATCCCTGATCAAATGAAGACAAAGCTCATTAAAATATTTAGTCAGCTTGAGCAAACCGTCTTGTGGAAATTAGAAGAAGAATTCCCTGATTTACCAAAAAATGTTCATATACTCAAATGGGCACCACAGCAAAGTATTCTTGGTACGTTTATCCTAATTTAAATTTCTAATTATTTAATTTCTTCGTCGGCCTGTAAAATACCACTTCTGAACATCTGCTGTTTTTGAAGAAATTGGAATAATCGTCACGCTTAGGCGAGTTGACGACGGTATTATTACACATATCATCACTTCATGCCAGCGGTCTGGATATTTTACGCCAGGCGTTAAGACACCTATTGAAAGCCATGAGATCTTTGTAGCATTTCCAATAGTCTTATTTTACTTCACCCTAGAGACAAAATCACAGCCATCAAAGGCAAATATATTATAATGTCTATTATCATCTCTATAAGGTTTTTTTTTTATTTTATAGGATAAGGGTGACAAACGAGCACACAGTCCACCTGATGGTAAGTGGTTGCTGCGGCCCATAGACATCTACATATATCCTCGTTTGCGAATCAAAATGCAGATGCGTTGTCACCCGTGAGGACTAAGATGGAATGCCTCATTTCCAGTAAAAAGAGCCTCCGGCCACCTGCACTCACCAAACGAAACGCAGAGGTAAACCTCTACTTCACGCTGGTATTCTGTGAGGTCGTGGTACCACCCCGGTTCGAGCCGGCCCATCCGTGCGACAGCAAAAGCTGCCGCGTGGCTCTACCCCGTGTAGTAACTCGGGGATAAGCCTGCAACTTAAAATTTAAGTTCGATCCCCATCAGCCCCAATGCAATATTTAATTGCAATAAAAGTGTTTAGTATCACATGATTGGCGTGTTAGAAACATTGTGAGAAATCTACATGTCTAAGAAATAAAAAATATTTTGAAAACATGTGAAGTCGACAAGACACATAAAGGGTAGTGTAATTTACTTATTCCTGATACAAGATTTTTTCGATAATAACATAATATAGCAATAATTACTAATACTTATTCGGTAATAGCATATATTTCGCATAACAGTGCTTAACTGTCTGTCTGTGCTAAAAGCATAAATATTGTAATCTTAAATTACCTCACCTTATCTTTCTCCCATTTTTAATTCATTCATAAATTATTTTCAATAATAATATCTTTTTTAATTAGCTCACCCAAACTGCATCATGTTTATAACTCATGGCGGTCTCTTGTCAATAACTGAAGCCGTACATTTTGGAGTTCCTATTATTGGAATACCAGTGTTCGCAGATCAGTTTGCTAATGTAAAAAGAGCAGTTAAGAAAGGATTTGCCAAACAAGTGGACTTGTCAAAATCTATGGCAGAAGACATAGATGATGCTATTCAGGAATTGCTACGTAATTTGAGGTGGGTACAAAGGTCAAGGTAACAAATTTTATAAATTTCTCGTGAATATCACCACAAGATACTTTTTACAGATGTAAATGTTGTAAAAATAGCTACAGTCTCTCTTTTTTATAGGATAGGGTAACAAACGAGCATACAGTCCATCTGATGGTAAGTGGTTGCTGTGGGCCATAGACATCTACATCTATCCTCGTTTGCGAATCAAAATGCAGATGCGTTGTCACGCGTGAGGAATAAGATGGATTGCCTCTTTTCCAGTAAAAAGGGTCTCCGGTTTTCTACACTAACCATACGAAACACAGCAGTGTTAAGCTGCTATTTAATGCTGATATTCTGTGAGAGCGTGGTCCTTCCCCGGTCGAGCCGACCCATTCGTGCTACAACTATACTACTAATATAGCTGCAGCATGGCTCTACCACGTTCAAACTGTAGAAAGTATTAGCCATTTGAATCGCAGTACCTGTTTCTCATATTTGACGCTGCTGCTTGTTGATAGTCTAAGTAATTTAAATGTATCGTATACGAGATGGTACAGTGCCATCCATCACTGATCCTGTGGTCTTTCTGTCCTTTCCAATAGTTGTTTCTTACGCTACACACGGGATGAAATGGGTTGACTATTCTCGTACTCCACCTTACGTATTATGATTACTACAATTGACGAGTTTTTTTTTTTACATGAATATGACATTACGGCTCATTTTATTTAAATGTTACTCATAACAAAGTTCGTTAGTGAAGATTTATTAAGCCCTGTATTTTTACCAATTTTAGCTATTCATTGCCTTATTGGCTAATTTGTGAGAGAAGTTAATAATAATTACTGATTACAATTAACCCTGCGAGAAGGCCCAAAATGATGGATTAAATTAATTACCCCGGCCTAGATGAGGCAACCTATGGTTTTACGTAGATTATGGACTGTATATCTTATTTCACGATATGTCCTTCAATTTGGACTACATGAATAGCGTGAAGGAAGGCATGTGCACCCACTTGGACCTCCGCTGAGCTGTTCCGTGTCTCCTTGAGCTGCGATGCACGTTGGTTGGATGATGGCTGTCTTCCCAAATAAGTTTCACTGATTTTCACAAAATATTGCGGTATCACAAATATCTACACTATTGCTGTTTTCTTGTACAGTTCAATATCTAAATTACACCACGGCGTGAGGTGATGAAGCGAAATATAGCCGAGCGATCCGTTGCGTAACTTGCGGGCTTGTGTGGTCCGTATTAACACACGAGTGCAAATGCTGGGCAATAGCAATATTACTATATAAGAATTAACAAATTTCCTAAGCGTTAAGCGGTAGTTGCAAGTGGCAAAAACAATTACTATTATTAAAAAAGCTATCCTGTTTTAATTTGATATTTCAAATCTGACATTATTTGTTTCAGTTATCGCAACAAAGCGAAAGAGCTCTCGTTCATCTATCATCATCGTCCCATATCACCGGGCGCAGAATTTGTTCATTGGGTAGAACATGTAGTGCGTACAAAAGGTGCTGCACATTTACGTTCGCCTGCGTTTACTGTAACTTGGTACCAAAAGATGTACTTGGATCTGATAGCTTTATTAGCAATAACATTAGTTCTGATCCTAACATGCATAAAATTAACTTTATGTGCGAGAAGCAATAAGTCTCATAAAAAGAAAATGAACTAATGTAATTTATTTTTTGCTTTCAGTTTTTTGTGACTTATTTATAAAATCATTAACATCTCCCTCGTGGTATTTGTTTTTAAATAAATAATATAAATAAATAAATAAATAAATATTTATTTCATTACCAATTACACATATTTACATACAGGAACAAATATGATTACAGTTAAATAAAGTAACAATAAGTCCAACAAATATAACATGCTATGATAAAATTAAAACTATGTGTAGCTTAATAATGAAGAATTTACAAAAGAAAAATAGAAAAGTCAAGTTTATATTATTAGCTACCTGCCTGAACTAGGTTGAGTACCTGTGTTTCAGACATCACTTACACTTAGGTTTTATGATGTAGGACACTAGATATTTTAATAATTAAACTATATTATATAATAAATAAAATTACTAAATAACAATTAATTGTTACCTACAATTAATACAAACTATTTTATAATTATTGGCCGTGTAGTGGCGGTTAAGAATATCCACTACCCCATATCCTCCCGTGGGTGTCGTAAAAGGCGACAAAGGGAAACAGGCAGGAGATGGGCAGCAGCATCTTCCTGATAACAGCCAAAATAACAATAAAAAACTGCGGTTGCCAACCCGCAGGCCAAGCGTGGCAACTATGGCAATATACCCCCCATGAGCAATGACAATAATAAACGGCCCCCAGTCCCGGCGGCCCCGCTATTCCTGGCTACGGTGGCGACCATGGTAACGGCGGGGCAGGGGGTGCTAAGAATCTCCGGTGGAGGTTCGGTTGCCACCTACGACGACTCGACCTGGCAACATACAACGCACGCACCCTGAGGACTGACGAGAAGATTGTAGAGCTGGAAGAAGAGATAGACAAGTTACGCTGGCATATTATAGGATTATCCGAAGTCCGAAGAGAGGGGGAGGACACGGTAATCCTCGAATCCGGCAACTTGCTCTATTACCGGGAGGGCGACCATCTGTCCCAAGGAGGTGTCGGATTTATCGTCCACAAGTCTCTCGTTAACAACGTTGTAAAGATTGAGAGTGTGTCGACGAGGGTTGCGTACCTTATACTCAGAATCACCGAACGGTATTCGCTGAAGGTCATACAGGTTTACGCACCAACCTCGGCACACCCCGATCAGGAGGTGGAGGAAATGTATGAGGATATCTCTAGAGCCATGCATTCCTCCAAAACCCAATATACGGTGTTAATAGGAGACTTCAATGCAAAACTAGGCACAAGAGAGAACGGTGAGCTGAAAGTAGGGAAATTTGGAATAGGGCATCGGAACCCAAGGGGCCAGCAGTTGGCTGACTTCATGGAGAAAGAGGGACTCTTTATGATGAACTCTTTCTTCCAGAAGCGGCCCCACAGGAAGTGGACCTGGTCGAGCCCCGACGGTTCGACAAAAAATGAGATTGACTTCATTATGACGACCAGACGACAACTGTTCAGTGATGTCTCAGTGATCGCGAGGGTGAAAACCGGCAGCGATCACCGAATGGTTAGAGGCACACTGAACCTAAACGTTAAGTTGGAGAGGTCTCGTCTAATGAAGTCAACGCTCCGTCCCCCTCGTGCTCTAATCCAAAGTCCCAAAACCTTTCAGCTCGAGTTACAAAACCGTTTTCAGTGCCTAGAAGACTGCAATGAAGTGGACGATTTGAATGACAAGCTCGAGGAAACTGTCCATGCGGTCGGAGCTAAGTTCTGCAAGACCCGCCGCAGAAGAACACAAAAACTCTCCGATCACACTCTTAATCTCATGGCTGTTAGACGGGAGATGAAGCTACATTCTTCAACAGATTTGACAGCATACAGGCAACTGAACAGACAGATCTCCAAGTGCATGCGGCGGGACTTACGCAACTTCAATACAGCTCGTATTGAAGAAGCGATCGAGCGGAACCAAGGCTCCAAAGTCTTTGCCAGAGATCTGTCTGCCAGAAAGCGCCAACTGTCAAAGCTGAAGACAGAATGTGGCAGCATCGTTTCTGGGTCACCTGAGATTTTGAGTGAGATTGAGAGGTTCTATGGGCAGCTGTACACGTCATCGTTGGAGCCGCACGCAAGTGTGAGTAACGATTCAAGAGCGAGTCTTATCCGACATTATTCCGATGATATCCCGGACGTCAGTCTGAGCGAGATTAGAATGGCTCTCCAGCACCTTAAAAACGGCAAGGCCCCAGGCGAGGATGGAATTACAGCTGAGCTTCTGAAAGCGGGTGGAAAACCGGTACTTGAAGTCCTTCAGAAGCTCTTTAATTCCGTCCTCCATGGTGGCATTACACCGGAGGCGTGGAGCAGAAGTGCGGTGGTCTTGTTCTTCAAGAAAGGCGACAACGCTTTCTTGAAGAACTACAGACCGATTTCCCTTCTGAGCCGCGTCTACGTGCTGTTTTCGAGAGTCATTACGAATCGTCTCGCGCGCAGACTTGACGACTTCCAGCCTCCCGAACAAGCCGGTTTCCGAAAAGGCTTTAGCACCATAGACCACATACATACCCTTCGGCAAATTGTACAGAAGTCCGAGGAGTACAATTTGCCACTATGTCTGGCGTATGTGGGCTATGAGAAAGCCTTTGATTCCGTCGAAATTTGGGCGGTGCTGCTGTCCCTTCAGCGATGCCAAGTTGACTGTCGGTATATCGAAGTGTTGAAGTGCTTGTACAGTACGGCTACGATGGCTATCCGAGTACAGAACCAGAATACGAAACCTATCCAATTGCAGAGAGGTGTAAGACAGGGTGACGTCATATCCCCGAAACTCTTTACCACTGCATTGGAAGATGTTTTCAAGCTTCTGGACTGGAAAGGATACGGCATCAACATCAATGGCGAGTACATCACTCACCTTCGATTTGCCGACGATATAGTCCTTATGGCAGAATCGCTGGAGGACCTAAGCACTATGCCCAATGACCTCAATAGTGTTTCCCAACGGATAGGTCTTAAGATGAACATGGACAAAACAAAGATCATGTTTAATGTCCATGTCACACCTATGCCGGTAGTTGTTGGGAACACTAAGCTCGAAGTTGTTGACGAGTATGTTTACCTGGGACAAATAGTCCGACTAGGTAAGTCCAACTTCGACCGAGAGGTCAATCGACGGATTCAACTCGGTTGGGCAGCGTTCGGGAAATTACGGCACATCTTCTCGTCAGCTATACCTCAAAACTTGAAAACGAGACTGTACACCCAGTGCGTGTTGCCAGTGATGACATACGGAACTGAGACGTGGTCCTTCACTGCTGGCCGGATGAGGAAGCTCAAGGTCGCTCAGCGAGCTATGGAGAGGGCTATGCTCGGAGTTTCACTGCGTGATAAACTCAGAAATGAGGATATCCGCAGTAGAACTAGAGTGACCGACATAGCCCAACGGATTAGTAAGCTGAAGTGGCAATGGGCCGGCCATATAGCTCGAAGGACCGACAACCGATGGGGAAGAAAGGTTCTCGAGTGGCAGCCTCGTACCGGCAGGCGAAGTGTAGGGCGTCCCCCCACTAGATGGAGTGACGACCTGGTAAGATATGCAGGAAGTCGATGGATGCAGGTGGCTCAGGACCGTGCTTTGTGGCATTCTTTGGGGGAGGCCTATGTTCAGCAGTGGACTTGTGAAGGGCTGTAATGATGATTTTAGAATTTCTAACAACTTCTCTGTGTCTTCGTAATTTAATTTATTTAGAAATTCCCTTTCACTTATATTACAATTTTTATAACTTAGACTACATACTTTTAGTGACTTGTTGCGCTTGTTATATAGAAAAGGTCCTAAGAATATGTAAAATCTGTTCACAAATGCGTGAATGGTTTGAGGGTTTACACAAGCTAAGTCCATTCTTCTCCTGTCTATGGATTTTAAGTTAAAAGCAAGTTTAGTATGCTGTTTTAATATGATGTTCAGGATAAACAATTGACGGACAGTTAGTACATTACATGTGAAGTAAATTTGAGGAAGTAATGCCATAAGTGAGTATGGATTGACACAAAGCTAAATAGACCTGTCTTATCAATTTGAAGTCAGCGATGTTACGGATATTCAAAAATATATATTAATTTACGAGCTCTAGCACAAAGTAAATCGATGTGCTTGCGGAAATTTGAGTCAAGCGTGATACCCAGATATTTTATATTGTCTGTTTTTCTTATTGCGGGACATGCACATGCAGTGTCATTATACGAGTTACAATGATGAGCGTAAATAATTAGGTGAGTAGGTATATTATTGTTTCTTATTAAAAGTAACATATATTGTGTTTTATTTGCGTTTAAACGCAGGAGATTATGAAGAAGCCAATTAGATACTATGTTGAAGCCTTCCTGAGCGTATCGTGATTTAGCTGAGAATAACAGGGCTGTGTCATCCGCATACGACATTATGACACATTTTGAAGTTGAAGATTGCATAAGTCACTTATATAAATTAGGAACAATGTAGGCTCCAGGATACTGCCCTGTGGGATTCCATAAGACCTGTTTTGTAATTCAGTACTTGTATACTCACCGGTTTTTACACATTGAAAGCGATCACTGAGTAATTGACGGCTCCGTGGCGCAGTGGCTTAGCAATGAGTTGTTGCGCTAGGGGCCGCGGGTTCGAATCCCGCATGGAACAAGTATTTGTATGACCTGGCCTACAAATAATTATTTCGGGTCTGGATGTTTGTCCTTGTGCAATTTATGTTTGTAAACTGCCTCCACGACACAGGAGAAAATCCTAGTGTGGCGGTAACGTTTAAAAAAAATCAGAAAATAATGTAGTTGAGTTCCTCTTATGACAAGTGTTTCAATCTTTTGCAGTAGTATAGGGCAAGATATAATAATTATAATAAAGTCTTTATTTATCTTCTCACATAACATAAAGTAAAACAATGTAAATCTAGTAGTACATAAACAGAATTTTATTATGTGAGAAGCTGGTGCCTGAAGTAGGCATATATAAGCCTGTAGTACAAGTCACCAGGTTCTCACCCCTCGAATGCTATGACATTGTATGAAATTATTCTAGGAA